GTCCCCGTGCTCCCCCCCTGGTCTGTCCCCCGGTCTGTCCCCCCCCCTGAGTCTGTCTCCCCCGAGTCTGTCTCCCCAGGTCTGTCTCCCCTGGGTCTGTCTTCCTAGGTCTGTCTCCCCATGTCTGTTCCCCCAGTCTGTCCACCCAGGTCTGTCCTCAGTCTGTCGCCCGTGTGTCGTCCCCCGGTCTGTCCCCTTCAGTCTGTCCCCCCAGTCATCCCCGGCCTGCCCCCATTCTGTCCTCAGTCTGTCTCCCTCTGGTCTGTCCCCCCGTCTGTCTCCCAGGTCTGTCTCCCCCAGGTCTGTCTCCCCAGTCTGTCCTCACAGTCATCCCCCCAAGTCTGTCTCCCCCGAGTCTGTCCCCGAGTCTGTCCTCCCCATTCTGTCCTCAGTCTGTCTCCCCTTGGTCTGGGTCTTGGGGCTCCTTTCACCAGGAGACATTTTTTTTTTCTTCTTCTTTCGTCTTCCTCGTCTTCCCCGTCTCGTGCCGCGGCGGGGCGTGCGACCACCAGTTGAACCTCGCGGCCTCCAGTGAGAGCAGGAAATCCCACCGGTCGTTGGCTCGGTCGTATTACTTCCGATCTCCTCGGCCGCAGACTGACGCCAACTCGTCCTTTCGGGTCGCTCGTAAACGTACGAGGCTGCTGACCTTTGACCCCTGTAGCGTTGAAGTAGCATTGCATGCTAACCATGTTAAACCTTTGCGGGTTTTTACCGTATACCATCGTAACTTCCTCAAAATAAAATAAAAAATTGCATGCTAGTTACGTTAGCCGAAGTAGCATTAGCATTGCATGCTAACCACGTTAAACCTTTGCGGGTTTTTACCATTGTAACTTCCTCATGCTAGTTACCATTAGCCGAAGTAGCATTAGCATTGCATGCTAACCATGTTAAACCTTTGCGGGTTTTTAACCATATACCATCGTAACTTCCTCAAAATAAAATAAAAAATTGCATGCTAGTTACGTTAGCCGAAGTAGCATTAGCATTGCATGCTAACCACGTTAAACCTTTGCGGGTTTTGACCGTATACCATGGTAACTTCCTCATGCTAGTTACCATTAGCCGAAGTAGCATTAGCATTGCATGCTAACCATGTTAAACCTTTGCGGGTTTTTAACCATATACCATCGTAACTTCCTCAAAATAAAATAAAAAATTGCATGCTAGTTACGTTAGCCGAAGTAGCATTAGCATTGCATGCTAACCATGTTAAACCTTTGCGGGTTTTGACCGTATACCATGGTAACTTCCTCATGCTAGTCACCATTAGCCGAAGTAGCATTAGCATTGCATGCTAACCACGTTAAACCTTTGCGGGCTTTTTTACCATAACCCATCGTAACTTTCTCAAAAAAAAAAAAAACAAAACTGCATGCTAGTTACTGTTAGCCGAAGTAGTATTAGCATTGCATGCTAACCACAATAAACCTTTTAGGGTTTTTAACCATATACCATCGTAACTTCCTCAAAAAAAAAATTGCATGCTAGTTACCATTAGCCGAAGTAGCATTAGCATTGCATGCTAACCATGTTAAACCTTTGCGGGCTTTTTTACCATATACCATCGTAACTTTCTCCAAAAAAAAAAAATGTGCATGCTAGTTACCGTTAGCCGAAGTAGCATTAGCAATGCATGCTAACCATGTTAAACCTTTTCGTAACTTCCTGGTAACCTGTTGTTTATTTTAGCCTTTTTAATGTTGACCTCATGCTACGCGACGCTAGGTGGTTAGCTAGCAGCGCCAGGCTAACACATCCGTCCTGTCCGACCCTGGTCCAATCAGATGAGGAGTTCTGAAGTCTCTAGAACTTTTTCAATTTGCTTTAAAAAAAAAAAATTTTTTTTTTTT